GGGGGGGGGGAGTGAGGATGCCATCAGTGCAGGCGAAGCTGTCGAACAAGGGACGGCGAACAATGGCCCGGGAGAGGGACAGCCGCCCGTGGGACCACGCACAAACAACCGACTGGAAGAACCGCACAAAGTCCGCATCGAAGAAGAGCGGGACCGAATGGTCAACCGGGGAGCTGGCAAAGCCGCCATCTCCGCTGAACCAGGGCCGCCAATGGGGCGAGTTGACCGTCGGCATGGAGGACACATGCGGCAGCGGGGCGAACGAGGCCGACACAGCCGACCTGAAGGCAGCCGAGTCCTGGAGGAAGGTCAACAGGGCGAAGAAGTTCTCCCGCGACAGGTGGAGGCCGATGAGTTCGCGGCGAATGCGAGCTCTACATGGCAGACGGTCACGTCAGTGGGCCGGGCCGCGTGACAGGCAAGGGGAGGGAGGGGGCCAGAGGGCCGAGGAGATGAGAGGAGAGGGGGTCAGCAAGACGATACCGATCCATCTCCGGGAGGGAGTTGTCATTTCCGGCCACGAGAAGACCCAACAGCAGGACGCAAAGGGCCGGGATATAGGGGTCCGGGATGTGGGACATCTTGCCAGTGTTGACAAGCTGGTCCAGCAACAGGGAGGTCAATGAGACGGCGGGCAGGCGGGCAGGCGGGAGACATGCATCGCGGGAGGCAACATACCGACTGGATGATGCGGCCATGATTAAGTGCCATGATGACGGCCGGAGTGAAGTCATGCATCCAGATTGCCAGCAGCGAGAGAAGGGCCACAAGAGCGCTGTTTGCGTGTGCGTGTGCGTGTGCGTGTGCGTGTGCGTGTGCGTGTGCGTGTGTGTGCGTGTGCGTGTGCGTGTGTGTGTGTGTGTGTGAGCGTTTCGAACATGAGCACGAAGAGGAAATCCAGCTGGCCCGGAGCAAGGCGATTCGGGGACATCATGGAGGCAAGGTCGCACATGGAAATCGGCCGACTGGACGCCATCAGCTGGGCGTCCGCAGTAAGAGAGACAATTCGATCGCAAATGGCAAAGAAGAGCAACTGGCTCCCTGTAGAGGCGCGGGGAAAGAGTGCCTGTCAGCAAAATCCAAGAAGCAAAAGGGAGGCAACGGTCGCGAGCATGACGAGGCTCGGCACGACGCACCCGGCTGAGTGGGATCAATGTAGGCCTGAAGCAGTTTCTCCTTGCAGGCGGGGGTGTTCTGACGTGCGTGTGTGCGTGTGTGTGTGTGTGTGTGTGTGTCAGCGGAATCGAGTCATGGGCTGCAAGCGGAGCAGAGGCAAGCTTGGCAGGGCACATTGCCATCAAGGAACAGACCAAGAGCCCCGGCACGTACCGACAGAATGTGGCTGAGGATGTTGCAGACAAACCACACGCGGTAGGGGTCAGCCTCGAGCTCCTCCTGCGAGAGAGACGCCAGCGGACCGATGGCCAGAGTTCGAAGGGACGACGCGTCATCTGCCACCAAAGGGAAAGGACCAGCCGAAGGAGCGAATGCCCAGGCAACGAGCCACAGTGTCAGTGGGCAGAGGGGAGAAAGCCCAGCAGGGGCCACCGGCCATGGAAAGCCCACGCACCATCCGGCGAGGGAACCAGCAGCGAGTTGAGAACCACCTGCTGCGAGTCCGGGTGGCCGAAGATGAAGGACCGGAAGGCATAGGCCGCGGCCGAGCGGATCCCAAGCGACAACGAAGGCCCATAATGCGGCGAGCCGAGGGCCACCTGCAGCAGGTGGGAGATGGCATCCTCGCGAACCCGGCCACCGGAGGCCTGGTGCGAGAGGGTCGGCGACAGCGAGGCAAACTGCTTGCGGCACTCCTGGTAAATGCGCATGGTGTCGCCGATGGCCAGCAAAGCCTCCCGGCGGATGGGCGCGTAGATTTGCATGCCCGACCCGACGGCCAGGCCACCGATGAGGGTCATGATGTTGGTGCGCAGGAGATTGCGCTCGACCGTGCGATTCGGGGCCATCGAGCCCATCATCATGGCCCCGCCGCCGGACATCGGGCCGAAGAGCGACTGCGATGAGGGGGACACCAGGCTGGAAAAGCCGGCATCGATGCCGGAGTTCTCTGGCAGGATGAACAGCCGAATGATGCCAATAATCTGGGTGACGATGTGCGCGCGCGAGGACGACCGCTGCGTCAGGTTCAGGTCGTTCGAGGGGCTGATGTCTGGTGGTGGCATGTGCATATGGCCATGGACATTCATGCGTGAGTCGACACAGGGGCGTTTGCGTGTGTATATCTAGGCGGGAGGGGGAAAGGGGCGGGGGATTTCTCTCGAATGCGAAGGGGCATGCGAAGGCATGAAGGGCGAGAGGCGAGTCACGAAGGGAGGGGGGGGAGAGGGGGGATTCCCCACCGCTCGGCCTCCCCTCGCCCAGCCTCCCGATGGCAGTGGACACATACCGGACACGTCGTCGATGTGCAGGAGGCTGCACAACTTCGGGAAGAGGTCATACTCGAGGAACATGCCGCGGACCTTCTCCGAGCGGAGAAGCGAAGCCAGCGCGGCCAGCGCGTCGGTCACCACAATCCCGCCATAGATGCCGTCCTCGCTGAGAGCAATCGTCAGCAGGAGTTCCATGCAGTTGTTGTAGGCCAAGGCCTGCTGGATGTGTGGCGACCGTTGAGCCAGCGGAGCAATCAGAAGCGGAATCTCTGCCAGTGGAAGGAGGGGGACCACCAAATGAAAGCGGCGGGCGTGAGGGAGCACGAGAAGGAGAGGGAGAGAGGGAGAGGGAGAGAGGAAGTTAGAGGCACCAAAAACGCCAGGAAGGAGGGCCATCGCAGGGAATGAGGACGGATGGCCGAGAGCGGGGAGGGGGCGCACCGGTGCGCAGCTGATCACTTCCATCCGACAGACCGGCCTGAATGTTGACCACGAAATCCGGATCCTGCAGGGCGGCATCCTGGATCTGCTCGAGAAGAGGGGGCATATGTCAGAGGAACACGCGCCGGTGAGGCTCAGCCGAGAGGGCCCGAGCTGGCTGACTGGCTGGAGGTGGGGCATCCCCCTGCGAGCGAAGGGGAATGGATGGAAAGCGCACTGGATGGGGGTTGACATTGAGCAGCCGTCCCAGGAGCTTGATGGCGGAAATGCGCGTGGCAATGCGGAATTCATAGTCCGACCGGGTGCCATCCGGCTCGAGCGGCAGGAGCTCATCGAAGGGCTGCAGCTGGCGCATAATCAAGAGCAGGAAGTCCCGGTTCTGGTGATTTGCCAGACGAGCGCACGTGCGCGAGTATGTGTGTGTGTGTGTGTGTGTGTGTGTGTCGCAGGGGAAGACAGGGAAACCGGGAGACGGGAGAGGGGGGAGGGAAGGGACGAGGTAGTCAGTGGGTCAGGCAATTGCCAGGACCGAGGATGGACGGCGGTCGGACATGTCACCATGGCGCACCTGGACAATGGACTGGCACACGGTGGCACTGCTGTCGGCCACGCCAGCAGCCGGGGGGTCTGGGGTGGTCAGAATGAACAGGGTGTCCAGCGCGATGCGGGCCAGGTCCGCATGCGGGAGGTAGGTTTTGGCCACGCCATTGGCACTCTGCTCGGCCGGCTCGCCGGTGAGGGTGCTCATCAGCGCCGGCAGGGCACGCTCGGCCACAAGCTGTCCACAGCCGAGGAAAGGCATTTGATGGGGAGTCAGTTTTGGTGGCGTGTCCCATGCCATTTCCGGAAGAGCACCAAAGCCGGGTGGAGGAGGGCGCGTACGGATTTGTAGGAGTTCGACATGGACCGCAGGGTTTGCAGCGAGGCAAGGCAATCCTACGGGGAGTGGCAGTGCGTGCGCGTGTGTGTATGCGCACGCGACGGAAATACCGGGGGGGGGGGGGGGGGGGGGGGGGGGGGGGGGGGGGGGGGGGGGGGGGGGGGGGGGGGGGGGGGGGGGGGGGGGGGGGGGGGACGTGCACATGTGCAAGCGGGTGTTAGGCCAAGGAGAGACCCAGCAAGGGTGCCTGCCGGTTGGCGGCTGGCCAGAGTGAAAAGCACGCACATCATGTAGTGTGGCGCTGATGATCCGGTCGCAGGTGGTTTGAATGACGCCAGCCGGCGAGCTATAGTCCAGCCCGGCGCTGGCAGGGCTCATGGCGGCGGAGTCGCCGCCGGACCCGACAAAGGACTTGAGGAAGTTCATGGGGGCCTCTCCACGGCGTGCGTCTGGAAGCGGGGAGAAGGCGCAAGGCGGGCGCGAGAGGGGGAGGACGGAGAGAAGGAGCGGAAGGAGAGCGGGGGGGGGGGGGCGGGCGGGCAAAGGAGAGACGCAGGCACGGAGGGGAAACCAGGGAGGAGGAAGAGAGGGGCAGGGGGGGGGGAGGAGGAAGCAAGAAGACCTGCGCCGGCTAGACGGGAAGGGATAGCTCGGGGGTGGCCCGGGCCGGCGCCCTGCCGCGGCGCGTCATTAATTCGGTCTCCTCCCTGGGCGTGTTGGCGCTCCTGCTCCCAGCGGCGGTTTTCAAAACACCCAGCCCGCCGCCCTGCCCCTTGCAGGTTGTCATCGGACGGTCGATCCGCCACGGGCGGCAGCCGCTCATCCCCCGGGCCCAACTCCCCCACCCAATCGGGGCCGCGTCCCCCCCCCCCCCCCCCCCCCCCCCGTTCCCCCGACAAAGGCATGTCTTCCCGCGCGCGCGCGCGCCAGCCATCGCCCTTCCGCGGTCCTGGGGGAGTTGCCCGCGCAGCGGCCTTTCCCGCGCCCCTTGCGCCCCGGGAACTCGGGCAGCCGGCCTAGCTGGAGGGAGCCCGAACACTGACAGACCCGAGTCACGTGCAGAACGGTTGTCACCTCGGCCGATGTGCCAACGGCCTGGCGATTGATCGCCGCATTCCGCCGTGCAGGCACGCGCCCGGGCACCCGGCGACCAGCAACAGGTACACATCCTATTCCCGGGACTTGCCCTCTTCTTCCCCCGGGGCCGTGGCTGGCCGCGCTTCCGCCGGGGTTGCCACGCCCGACCACCGAGGGCGACATGGTGCACGAACGGCTTGGGTGTGTATTTTTGGAGGTGCCCCCCCCCCTTTTGCCTGTGTCTCCGCCTGCACGCTCCGGCAGAAGGTTCGCGGCTGCCGCTGTGAAGCCACACTCGGTGCCGGCGGTGCGTCCCCAGGCTGGGGGACGGCTGATCGCAGGGGGAAAAAAAAGGAAAGGAAAGCAAGAAGAGTGATGGTAGAGGGGGAGGAATTGGCCGGGCGCGCGGGCGTGCACTTCGGCGAAAACCGAGCAAGAGGAGGGGGAAGAAGCAACGGCCTCCAAAGTGCAGGGACAAGGAAATACATTATCTGGGATTCTATAGGGCACGTGCAAGCATGTACATAGACGCGGGTGGAGCCCAGGGCGCCATATGCGCCTCTCGGCCACCATATTGGCTTCTCGGGACTCATATGCCGGGGTCAAAACTCGTCGGCACTCTCGGATGTGTTGTAGTTGGAGGAGGTCCCCATGCCGAGCGGCGTGGAGGGCATGTGGTCCGGGGTCGACTGCGGTCCGGTCCAGCCGGCGGCCGCCGTGTACAGGCTCGAGTCCCAGGTGTGCCGGTTGAGCCGGTCAAAGAGACCGGGCGGCAGGCTCTTGACCAGCTGCAAAGTCAGGGAGATGGCATGGCCGGCATTCAGATCGGGCATGTTGCGGAAAACGCGCATCGGGCTTGACATGCGCGAGAAGGAGGGCGTGTTTTGGGGGAGGGGGAGGGGGGAGAGGCAAAGCCGGCAGGGGCAGCGGGCAGGAAGCCATGGGTGGGGCCATGGGTGGGGCCATGAGTGGGTTCATGAGTGGGCCATGGGTGGGGCCATGAGTGGGGTCATGAGTGGGGTCATGAGCGGGCCATGAGCGGGCCATGAGTGAGGCCATGGCGGCAAGGAAGAAAGAGGTGAGCAAGGAGCCGCGCAAGGAAGGCGAGCAGGGGGAGGGAGGGGAGGGACGATGTGACAGATGTGGCACGCACCTGGGGGAGCTGAGCAGCGCGTTGCGGATCTGCAAGAGCCGGGCCACAATGATCAGGATGTTCAAGTGTGGCCCAAAGGCAAAGAGGAAGTCCCACAGACGCAGGACCTCGCTCAGCGGCTTGGCCGCCCCTGACAGAGTGAGCACCCCTAAACGGCGGAGCGGTCCAGGCCAAAGGAGCAAGAGGTGGCAAGCCGGGGTCAGGAACAGAGAAAACGGAGAGGGCGGACGGAACAAATGGTGAAATAAAAAAAAAACCACCGCGCATATACCCGCATGTTGCGACGCACAGGGGAAGGAATAGAGCGAGGCCGGCATGTTTTTGGAGTTGAAGAAGGCCGCCAGCTCGGGATCAAAGAAGCTCAAGCACTCGTCAATGATCTGGAGGGAGAGAGAGAGAGAGCAAGCACAGTGGCAGTCAGAGAACAGCCGGACAGGGCAGAGGTGGAGAGAAAAAAAGGGCGGGAGAGGGAGGCCGGCAGCCGGGCCACACTCAGGGGGACGCCCCCCCCCCCCCCTCCCGCCCCCCTGCGACGGGGCGCATGTGCGCACGCACCTGGCAGCCCATGTGCACGCCGTCCAGGCTCGGCACCAGGTACATGGGAATGTAGTAGGAGCACAGGAGGCGATACAGGCCGAAGGCATCCACCTCGCCGGGCATGGTGATGTAGAGGATCGGCGCCAGGAGGACATTCATGCCCTGCACATAGGGGGACGTCCGGGGAGACCCGGCGGCAGTCAGCCGCGGGGAGCCCACCTGCAGGGCGGTCGGCAGGAGCTCCGGGCTGGGGACGGTCGGCTCGGCGTCCGACTGCAGGAGCAGGATGTTGCTGGACCGCGAGCGCCGGTGGCTGCGGGCCGGCCCGCCGAACCCCCGGCCGGCCCCCTCGTCCGGCGAGGAGAAGCCCGACGCCGAGGAGGAAGGCGACGTGGAGGACAGCGAGAAGGCATCCGGCCCGGAACCGACCATGCCGGGGCGCCGGTCGGCCACCGTATGGGCATACGCGCTGAGGACCCGGACCAAGGAGGCCTCGGGCACGCGGTCGCCGAAGTCCGCATCCCCGCGAAAGGTCCGGAAGGCATCGTTGCAAATTTTCGAGTGCACACTGCTCGGGCCACGCGCGATCAGGGCACTGTAGGCCGCGGCCGAGGGCCGGTCCGAGTCACACAGGAGCACGGTCCACAGGCGCGACCGGAGCGACTGCGGCGCCGACCGAGGCAGCCCATCCAGAAGGACCAGCCGCCGGAGGTGGTTTAGCCGCGCGCGAATGGCCACCGGGCTGTTGATGTTCCCGGCATCGGCGTCGGCCCCGGTGCCGCTGGGTTCCCCGTTGGCCGACGGGGCCAGCGTCACGCTCCATGGTGCCGACAGCAGGCGCTCATATTTAACCTGGAGCAGGGCCATTAGGGGCGACGCTTCTCAGAGGGAGGAGGCAGATGGGGAGGGGGGAAGGAAAGGGGGGGGGGGAGGCGAGAAGGGGGAGGAGTCGATGCGGGGGGGGGGGGGGGGAGGGAGAGGCGAGAGGCGGAGGAGGGAGGCGGAGAGAGAAGGAGGCGGCGGAGCAAGAGGCGGGGCTCGGCACGCTGTGAGGAGGGAGGAGGGAGAAGCCTTGGGCGGCGGTGGGCGGGCCGGGGCCGGTAGCAGCCCGGCCCTTCTGTATGTATGTATGTGTGTGTGTGTGTGTGTGCGCGCGCGCGCACGCAAACGTGTGCCTATGCCCCTCGCCGGGTCCCGGGGCTCAGTGAGGATGTCACCGCGGGCCCCGGGACGGGGGCGGGAGCGGTAGATCGCCAGAAGTCCCCTCGGTGGGGATAATTAAAGGCCTCGGCACATGTGGAGTGCGCGCCGTCGTCCGGGGAGGGGGCCGCAGACTCGGCCATTGCGCAGCCGTGGTGGACGCCGAACACGCCCCGTCGGGTGTCAAAAAAAAAAGAGCAACCGACCAGGCCAGACCGGGCCGGGCCGGGCCGGGCCAGCCGCCGAACAGACACACACAC